GGAATGAGGATTATCTCTAGGTATTTAGATGTTCAACCCTAGGCATTGTGTTTGCAGAAGAGATATTGGAAGGTATTTTAAACCTACTCAGGAATATTTTATCTGTTGCTCTTCAGGGCAAATATTTTTTCTCCACACGGAAAAAATGTAAAAATGTATCGACTGCTGGTTTCTTTTCCACACAAAGTGTGCTGCTTAGCTGAGGAGGAGCAAAATAATAGTGAAATAATGTGTCAGAAGTGTGTCAATCAATTCAGAGTGATCACTGGGTCTTGAATGCTGAATCATTTATCAGCTCACGCTTTTGGCGTGACCACGGCACACGATGCTTCTGTTTGGTCTGTCAGCTTTGACTGCCTCAGATAGGCTTTCTGAAGCGCGGAGACAGAAGCAATATATACTCCCTTATGGTGCTGGGGTTTTTGTGGGGTTTTTGTTTGATTGGTTTTTACCTTGCTTCATGACACACAGAAATCAGTAAGGTTTTTTGCAGCTGCGGATTGCGAGCTGCTGCCAGGATGAGATCTTATAGGGAACCAACAATATTTTTTCGTGCCATGACCATTTTTTCTGTGCATGTGCACTTTATATATACCTTGGAGACCTGTTTCAGGTGAGTCATTCTGCAGCTGGAGTAAAGTATGGAACTTACCATGTTGTTCCTCTCTGACCATAGAGAATTTGCATTTACATTTGAATGCAGTGCAAGACTGAATCAACAGCATACCTGTTTCTTCACTGAACCAATGCCTGAGTTTCTCATCCTCAGATTTCATCAGTGTAATCCTGATTTTACTCTTTCAGGTTTTTTTCCCTATGCATGCTGGATTTCATCCCTTTTTGCAGCTGAGAAGGCAGTTGAAAATAAATCTATGGGTTTACTTCACAGCTTGAGCAGTGTGTAGGAGCAAGAAAGGCCTCAGGACTGCTTTTGGCAGTACCTCTTATATCCAGCCTCAAGTGTTCTTAAGCCCTGCATGATGCTCCATAACCAAGGGGAGGGTGCAGGTGGGTGGAGACCAAGCCAGTAGTAGTGATCTGGGTGGAGAGCATTAAGATGGGAGAACTTGATATTTATAACCCGATTCTCAGTGCTGCTGTTCCCTTGTAATGGCAAAATTGCCTTAGGTGCTTTTGTCAATCCCACCGGTTCTGAACAGCATTAAGGTGGTACCAGCACTTAGTGGTTTACTGGAGCTGGAAAGAAAGCGTGCAGCGGGAATCACTCCATCGTGCTTTCCCCCATGGGAGAACCACTGCTGTGAAACTGCAGCTTCCTGCCTGCCTTCACCCAGCCTTCTGCACCATTTACTATTCTTCCAATAAATGCTTTGCCTTTCTGCTTTCTTTAAAGACTGGAAGTGATCTTAGTTGAAGCACGTGAATGGGTAGTGTTACGTGAAGCATTTAAATATTTGCAGTTCATTAAATAGTCATTCACTGCCTGTGTGTGCTGAGAGAGGTAGTTTCTCATAAGAGATACTACAACAATTTGTGCATGAGCTGTGGTTTTTTTTCTGCTTACGTGAAGACTGTAAGTTTTGTTTGTATCCTAGCTCATATCAGCAAATCTTGAGATGGCTTGTGCTTTCCTTCCAGCCCTGGGTTCTGCAACCCAACATCAGAAGCATGTACCTGAAGCTCAGCTTTCATTTTAGGAAGTGGATTTCTTACTGTTATGCTTCTCAATTGACCCTTTAAAAGTACAGAAAATGAACAAAAAGACTCTCCAGAGGACGCTTGTTTAAAATAAATCTTTTGGGTTTTAGTCATCCTTAAAATTTGGGAGGGAACAGGCTTATGGGTTCTTATAAACTCCAGAGTTCAAGGTTCTTATAAAGTCCAGAGTTTGACAGCAATGCATATGGAAAGTCTTAAGTGTTTTATAAGTTCTTTTGAAAAAAGATATGTGTTCCAATAGGGAAACATTGAACAATTTGTAACAGTGAGTGCATTACTGTATTGTGCACCCCACTAAAATTAATGTTATCAAATGATTCCTTTACTAGACTTACAGTTGCCATTTTCCATCAGAGCTGAAAGAAAACTTCTACAGAAGTTTCAGTTTCTGAGCCCTGTTTGATGATTACTACGCAGCCAGCTATTTTAACTGAGTAATGTTTTTTTACTTTTTTTTTTTCTTTCTTTCTTTTGCCTTAAAGGGATTTCTCTCATCACGAAAGAGGGAACTAGAACGTCTGAGTCAGAGTAACTAAGGATTTTATGGATACGTGCTTGCGCTGATGATGTTTAGAAGATATGCATTTGTCAGAGCATGTTTATTGTTATGCAAAATAGTTCATGAAATTCATAGCTTCAGGCACGGAACAACTCCTCACAAAGACCAAGTTTTACATTTAAACTATTGATTTAGGCAGACATAAGTCATTTCTTGAGAAATGCGTGCTTGAGGCTCATCAGACATTTTGGAGATTTGATTACAGTTCAGGTTGAAAAATTTGGTTGCTGCAAAAGCACATCCAGAGCTTTCTGGGATGTTTAGAATGGAAGGTCTGATTTCAGGCAGTTTGGGTATGATTTCAGACCTCTTTAGGTCTTTTCTGTCTTCAAAAACCAAAACGCTGTTTCTTTAGAGACATAAATTTGTAACTGTATGTATTTTGATTCTTTAGGAAGTAATAGAAGCTATTGCTGAATGTGCATTTAAGACATCGCCCTTTCCAATCCTCCTTTCCTTTGAAAATCATGTGGATTCGTAAGTAATTACCATGTTTTTCCTGTATGGTGTTATTTTTTTTGTAAGGTCTAAGCACAGAATTATGTATGCAGTTGTGGCAGATTTATTATATGACATGATCAACAGCTCTTATCCCCAAAAAAACTTGTATCAGCCTAAGTAACCAAGATGATCAGAATGAATCGGGCATGTTCTTAAAAACCTTCCTGAATTAGAACCTTTTGTATGAAAGAGAAAGTTTGAATAATTGTGAGACAGCTTGTATGTATGACAGTCTCAGTATGTCCTGCTGGAATGTAGTGGTACTTCATCAAAGAAAAAGAGGCAATATTTCACCTGCTTATGACCCCATTCTGTGCACAGAATTTGGTCTGTTTCTGAGATGTTGGAAGTAGAGACCAGAAACATAGACTAGATAATAGACTAGGTAGGATTGCAAAACAGGTGGTAGGCATGGCCAGGAACTGCTCCGTTTCTGCCAAAAAAATACCAGTTTGCCTAAGCTGTTTTCTTTTTTTAGTTACAAAGAAAGGACAGTTTTTCTGTGTAAGGAAAGAAAAGATAAGTGAGAGCATTTCTCAATTTGTCCCAGTGATCTATTTTTTTATTATTGTTATTATTGTTGGTTCAGTTCTGATTTTTCTTTTTTTAAGTTTGACATTAACTTTAGTTTTGAATATAGAGATCACATGGTTCAAAGTGAGGTGACATTGACACATAACATGTGCCTTAACTTCAGTTGCCTTTTTCCCCTTTTGTTTTCAGCTGTGAAAACATTTTCAGCAGTTCTGGGGCCAGTTTGGACTGAGAAACTTTTTTTTTTTAATGTGAAACAAAAAGTAATCTTTGGGGCAGCTATGAATGATTCAAAACAAATCAGAAAAGATGTTGCACTTTTGCTTCTTGAAGAGGAAAAGGGTGAGGGCTAACTGCTTTTCCATTGTTTGAGGAAGAACGTTCTTGTCATAAGGGAAGGAACTGGTAGAAGCAGCTATGTAAGAAAGTTTTTAAGAACCGATGTGACAATACTGATCAAAAATTATGTAGGTAGAAAAATTTAAAATCTGAGAGCTGACGTACACTACCTGTATACCTTACAGTGTAAGTTTACACTACCTTTTGTGGGCAGCTATGTGCTTGCTCTGCACGCATTTGAAGGCCACGTGGTTATGATTCAAACAGCTACCTGTTAAATCCTGCTTACTTAGTTCTGTCTTCGTCTGAAAGACCACACAGATACTGTATTTAATTTCTTTCTCTAATCAGTCCCCTCACTCCTTTCTTTTTGGTGTAAGTTATGTCACTTTGAACTCGCTCACCTACTGCTGTAGATTTTAACTCCCAGTGCTTTTCTCAGTGATTCCAAATGCAACCTCTGGTTGTTAGAAAAGAGCTCAACCATCATTCTTCAATGTATCATATTTTGTATTCATTCTTCTGTATTTGTTAAAATACACATTCACTGTGTTACTATAAGGCAGAGAAAAAGCAACATCCAATTTATTGTAACCAGAAGAGTTACATTTTTCTTCCTTTAAAGTAATTAAGACTTAAATCTTCAACTATTCCAGGGTGCTCTGTTCTATTTTAGGAAAGTAAAGAAGTACAAAAATGTATAAAATAAACTCCTGTCAGATGTAAGTTATGTACAGAAGTGGCTTTAAATCTGTAAGATGAAACACTGTCAAAATTAAAGGTGGTGTGATACTGCAAGAATATGCCAAAAAGGGAACAGAGTTACTGCTGCATTGTTCTGATCTTTACAATTTGCCCCGCAGAAACCATTGGGCCTTTCTCTCCAGAAAACTCCAGTTATGTAAAAATGAATTATCCCGAAGTGTATTATTTTGTGTCCTTCTCCATGCATTGCTATGACATGGGTTTTTAGCAAAGCAAGTCTGCAAAACCCTATCAAGTATTTTCTCTTTCTGAAGCTTTATTGCTATTTATTATTTTCTGCTGCAGTAAATCATCAGACTTAATGTGTATGATTTCTAATTTTGCTTTGGCTGAAAATAATTTCTAGTTATTTTACCGACTACTACAATTATCCCTTCATTTCTTCACTAGTTGCTAGAGAAATCTGCAATTAGTCACGCCGCTCACAGAAACCTTCACCTAATTTCATCGAATGCTCCTTTTGTCTTTTCATTTACTTGGAATGTTGTTTTTCTCCTAGGTCTTAAAGATGGACTCTGCCCTAAGTATTAACAAAAAATGCTAAGTGTTTTTATAGAATTGCTGTCAAACAAATCCTATGACATCAATTCCTACTTTTGGTGACCGAATTTTTCTTCTAATTTTCAAGTTACAAGAGTCAGTATTCATGTGTGAAATGCTGCTCCCGTACAAATCAGTAGAAATTTTGGCATTGGCTTAAACAGAAATATGGTTTTAGCCTGTGTTCTCTATTCATGACTGTTAAACAGTTTGCGGTTATCAGAGGTAAATAAGTTTTACATCCCCACCGTAGATATGCCAGTGTTAATCACCACTGGACTTAAAATCCAATTTTTCTTCCTTCTGATTTATGGTCCTGAGAATATTTTTAAGACTTTTTGTCCACCTAGGGAACAAATCACTTATTAAGACATAGTGTTAATCATCTCGTTTTGCTTTCTTTCAATGTTTTTCCTAGAAGGCCTTCTCTAAAATATCTCTATAGAATGTGAAGAATTTTCATTTCCTTTACTATAACTCCACTGTGTAGTATATTCATTCTTGTCTGTTTTCATACCATAAGAAGTTTAGAAAAAGAGGCAAGCATATAACTTTTAGAATATGTAAAATATAATTTATGCCATCACTTGTACTGAAGTCAAACCATGCACACTGAAAAAAGACAGTACTAAGAAAAGATGTGGTTCTATCAAAAAATACTAAAGTGCCCTGAAAATATTAAAAAGACCTCAAGAAGACCTTGACGTTTGAAATTGGGCTTGCAAGAAGATAAGCAATCTGCAAATCTGAAAGCAGGCACTCTATAATTAGAAATGCACTGATGACATAGCAAAAAGGTTAAGTGATCCTTGAGCAGTATCCATATAAGATTGCTTCCAAGATTAAATTTAATTACAGTTATTCATATTGCTGGTTTCTTGCTGGAATTGTTATTTCAAATATTAACAGGATTTTTATCACTTTTTCTTCCTACACTTTAAATTATTTTAGACTCTTCTGGGAAGCATCTGTGTCTTTGTCTTATGCAGAAGAAGTATCTCTGCAGAAGTGATAATAATATGATGTTGGGAGCAGTAGTCGTGCAGTAGTGCCAAAGAGCCTCTGTGATTGACCTTCATAATAGGCATAATACAAACACAGTAAAACAAAGTACAAGCAATACAGTAGTGGTAATGAAAACATTTCTTAATATTCTTTATATTTCCATATCTCCAGGTATCATGTTCCCACTTTATCTTCCCTTGCCCTGGCGCACTTTGGGGGCATATATAATTAGTCTATGTGCTACCCGTCCATGTCTGCACAGTGACAATCATAAAGGAGATAAAGTCAGCTCTTTTGAGGCAATCAATTTTCATTACAATACAGGAATGATGAGAGAATTTCCAATAACAGTAGATGTGGACCAGGAAATACCTGCTTTTTTGTTCCATAACATCAGTAGGGAAATACATTGATGTAGAAAAGCTGGTATTTTGATCTGTTGCGCTGGTTCATAATTTTGAAAGAAAAGAAAATAAAAAGAAACTGATAATCCAACTTTTAAAATACTATAATAGTAATACATAATCTATACTGTTACTAATGACCTATCTCTTGAAACTATATATATATATATATAAGAGAGAGAGAGAGAGAACACACAAAAAATACCACTCAGTTAAATGCTGGTACTCCTAAATATTTTTTTATTCCTCCTTAGGAGCTTTTAAAAATATCTGTGCATGTAGTCCAGTTCACAAAGACAAGTAATTTTGTAACATCAAGATTTTCCTACTTTGGCCTTGTCTACTACTGCAAGATTATTTTTTTATAGCACTAAAACCATTAGTTTTTCACATAATTTTCCTTTTCCTTCTTTCTGCCTCTGGGATGCAGTGACATTGGAATTTATACACCAAACCAAAATAATGTTGCATTACATTTTTCTCTTTTGCAAAAATGAAAGTTCTCACTGTGTTCTCTTTGAGGTAAACATGTCATTAAACACAGAAGATCAGAAGAATTTGTTCTAGCTGTGGTGATAGTTTGAAATTTATTCGATTTAACTCATGCATTTTTTTTTCAGATTCCTATTGAGAGCTCTTTTTGGAGTTGATGTGCCCATTTAAAAATGCTGATGTCACATCTAATTACTAGGATTTCAATAATAGTGCTCTTTTGATTCAAGGAGATGTCCTTTGAACTTTCTGGGTCCTTTGAGCATGGGTCTATTCAAAATATATGCTGGTGGAGAAGACTGAAATAAAATTCACTATCATGACCCCTAGACCTATAGCAAATATCCAGTCTGTTTGCTTGCTAGAGTGAGGTGCCTTTATTTTCATTGATAGCTGGCAATTAGAAATAGCTAACGCGCTGCCGTAGCCTGATCTATTCTTCCCATCACCTTCTCCCTTGTGGGTTCTTAGTTCCACTGCCTTGCTTGTCTTCGTCTTAATTTTCTATCCTCAGCTCAAAGTGGCTTTTAGCTTTTTTGCAGAATTGGCTGCACACAAAAGAAAGCATTAATAAAAAGCTGTTGTGATTTAAACTGCATGCGGGACTTTGTGGAATAATTTAAAGCCTCCTCGCAATGTGTTTTGTCAATGACCGGTTCACCCCATATCTGCTTCAAGGGACATCCAGAATGCTGATCTCGGGGAAATTACATTTTCGGATTCAAATGCCACCCAGCCTTTATCTCAGCTCTGGTTTGGCCTTGCTGACCCCAGGCAGAGCTCTAGTGCCAGGTGCTCCGTTGGTAGCTAGTGACAAACTAGACACCGTGGTTGTTGTACTCTTAGCTTGCAAGAGAAAAATGAGGGCTCCTCGTTTCCTATATACCCACCTCTGTTTTGTCATGAAAAATAGCTCCATGGTAACATAACTGCTTGTACCGTTCGCGTATCTTCCATGATATGCAGATCATAATTAACAGCAGTTGAGAAAGTTATATTAAGCAATATAAACCTGTCCTTTAATCGAGACTTCTCAACAAAGCATCAAAAAAGGAAACTTTTAAAGATACCTAAGCTCAGACATTACAGATGTTAAACAGGCACATATAACAAAAATACACAGTTGTCTAAAATTAGAAAGAGAGTGACTGTAGCGCTGAGCTGCATTTTAAAATGATTTGAGTAATATTTCTGAGTAGTATAACCTATCTTCAGTCCTAAAACTCCCATCACTGATATGCAGGACTTATCTCATTCTTTGGTTGCACTTTGGGAAAATTGAGTTTACTGAGGTTCAGTTTACTTGTAGAGGATGTCATGAAAACCTCTGAAGTAATTTACTATGGTAAAATCTGACACTCTATCTGACTTTAAATAAAATTTAAAAATTTTTTAAAAAGGAATCTGACCACATACCCAAACAAGCTAAAATGATCGTTGAGCAGCTCCACCTAGCAGCTCGTTATTACATCCAGATCCCCACTAAGAAGGCTGTCCCAATATGGTGGTCCCAGTTATATACACATAACATGCGCGCAGTATGTAATTATATGCATAGAAAATGCAGTTATACCAGCACGTATTACAGTAATTCTCCAAATTGACATAATACATCTTAGCAGTAGCACACAATTACATCTATGCTATGACTTCTGCCAGCGAGGATATGTCAGGGGAAATACTTCTGAGTGAGCTGGCGAGAGCAGCGCAAGCTTTTGGTGCAAACCCAGCCCAGGGGGTCCGCGGATGGGTCGGTGCTTTGTGGTGGAGCGCCGTGCAGAGGTGCAGGCTGTGGCTGGACAGGCTAACAAATAAGGTGGGAAAGTGAGCTGCGTTTTAGCAGAAAATCTGCAGTAAAACTAACTGCATTTTAAAAATCTGAGTAAAACTAGCTGCTTCTCTACTAGTGCCTGTAACTGATGCAGCTTTGCTGGTTTTGAGACCCAAGTAGTGTTTTCTGCCCCTTCTTCTGTATGGCTGTGCCTTCGAGATGTGCTGAGTGAGGTGATAGGTACCCTTGGCTTGGGAAATTTAACAGAGACACCTGCACAGGAGACTGCTTTCTGTGTGACTGGTTTGGGGTTTATGCCTTAGACAAAACCAGAACGAAATCCAAATGGAGCTGGGCGTGTGTGAGAGAACGCCAGGCATGTGTATAAAGCAACATGAGAAGGAAAATATTTAAACTTTGAATAAAAATGTTGCCTGAAAGAGGCAAGTTCATATAATGGTTATTTCCCTGAAGGTAACAACGGATAGCCTCTTTTTTATTTTCTACTAAATGCATGGGAAAATATACCTCGGTGTTAAAAGTTCAGTTTCACTATTATTCAATTGGCTAGTGCCTTTACTTCGTGTATGATACTTTTGATAAGCTCTGTCAGAGGAATCGGAATAATTGCATGATATATCTAGGTCTCTCTGAAAAATTCACAGCAATTGGATCAGGAAATTATATCTAGTTTAGGGATATTAGATATTCCATTACTGCTGCTTTCACTCTGTAGCCTTAGTAGGACTCATTTATTTCTTTCTTTTCTCCCCTTTAGCCCTAAACAACAGGCAAAAATGGCAGAGTACTGCAGATTAATATTTGGAGATGCATTGCTTATGGATCCATTGGAAAAATACCCGGTAATATGGTTTGGTATTTATCAGATCGCAAGCATCTGTGTGAATTTTTATTTTTCAGTCCTGTGTCATTCTTCATATAAGACCTTTCAAAACAGAGTCTAAAGGAGCGGGTTAAACAATGTGAGCTGTTGGTGACTTAAGCATATAATTTCTGATGCAGAGATTGTTCTGATACAGTCAATTGTAATCTTCTAAATGCAATTGATTCTCATAGCTGCCATTTTATAACATAAGCTTTCATATTTGAACTAATACTTATTTCAGTTACTACTGTAGACATTTCATAAAACATTTTTCTTTTTTTCTTAAGTGCCCTCAGTAGCCCTGTTTCATTTAATGTTGAGGTTACCTCTTGTGCAAAATACATTTCATTTTAGCAGGGTTTATAGAGGTTGCAAAATCATCTTGCACCATGTGGACCCTAAGAAATTGCCATAAGCTCATTTCTTTTGTTGTTGTAACAAATCTCTCTTCCTTTTTCTGCAAGCTTGAAGCTGGGGTTCCTCTTCCAAGCCCTATGGATTTAATGTACAAAATTCTGGTGAAGAATAAAAAGAAGTCGCATAAGTCTGCAGATGGAAGTGCAAAAAAGAAGCTCTCAGAGCAAGCTTCCAACACATGCAGTGATACGTCTAGTATGTTTGAACCTTCCTCCCCTGGAGCAGGTATGAATTGAATCTACAAATATATTTCTCCCTAACACACAAATGCTTAATTACAGCTATAATTCAATCCAGGTGTATTGCTCTAGCAAGGCAGAGGTACACCAGTGTGGGCCTTACTCAGTAGGAAACAATGCTAAGTGTCATTGATCCAGGAGTCTGTGAAGGCTCGCTGCTGAGGAGGCACTTATGGAGCGACCTAAAGCTCAGTGATGTGTACTAACATTTATCTGCACCGCTTAGGAAGTAGAGCTTAGGAGCTGCCAACTCCTCCACCCTTGGGTGCCTTTTCTATGTGCCCAAGCCCAATACCAAACAGAAATGTTTTCTTTTTTTCTATTGCCTCTGAGGTGTGCCTACCATTTGGTGCCCTTTCAGACTTAACCCGTTGCACAGGAGAACTGCAGTGTTCTGCAGTGTCTTAAGACTTAAGGTAACTGCCAATGAGATATCTGTTCCTCAGGCAGGCAAGGCACAACCCGCCGTTGTCTTGCATTAGTTGGGAACATGTCACAGGCCTCTGTGCTAAGTGCTATACGATGTTCTTCTGTTCCAGAGATGGAAACTGGCAAAAAAATACTGCAAACAAATATTTCTTGCCATCAGGAACTGTAAGGAATGTAGCCGATGGAAAGCAGTGTATTACATTGAACTTGTTCATTGCTAGCAGAATTTTTAAAATCAGAAATGAAATAGAAAAGTTACTGTAATTTTAGTGCATGTATTCTGGTAATGCCTATGGAATCTGCAGGGGACCATTGCAAGTGTTGGTATGCAAAAATCAGTAAGAGATGGTCTTTGTCCTGAAGAGCTTAAAACCTAACTAGAAAAGACAAAGAGAAGTGCAGAGAAAAAGATAAAGTAAGGATTTGCACTAAACCACAGGAGCAGATTAGCAGCAGGACAAACAACAAAATCTGTATACCCTGATTCCCAGCCCAGTGTCTGTTCCCTGCACTAGAATTTCTTCTTCCTATTAAGACAGAAATTTTGGATTGCTAAAAGCGTAGACGTTTGTGCCTCAGTAGTAGAAAACTTATAGAGCAGATTGAAAGCGCTACTGGAATAGAAGTTCATTACCATTTGCCACAAAAAACTTTTTTCCATCGTTTATAATTTTCTCTAGACTGATTAATTGAGCTGAAAATTTTCAAGCTGAATTTAAAAAATCCTGCTGTATTTGTGGATAACACTGTTTATCCTATTAGAAGCAAAGAAAGAGTTTTCAACTATTGTGTTAAGAAACTTTGAAAAGGGCACGCTTTGGAGTTTGGCTTGGATTTCAAAGGAAGATTCATCCTGGTGTCAAGAATGATTTAATACTGTTTTCTTGATTTGCTTTAGACAAATCCCAAGCAACAGAAAAATAAGTGTGTCTATGCCAACTGACTCCTTTCCAACACTTGAAATCAACCCTGGGTTCCTAACTCTACATTTTTGTTACCAGCACATAGTGAGAACCCAGAGGCGAAATATGTGTCTTTTGCTTTCTGAGTGCCTGATCTGCATAGAGGCTAACAGCTTTGTCTTTCAGGAGCCTCTCTATGAGCTTTTATAGGAAAAGACCTGGGCTGTGAATCTAGATGCTGATGATGATGCAAGGCAGGGCGGTCAGTCTCCTAATAGGGTGTGTAATTTTACAAATTAACTGTGAATATTGTCTCTGTTACCTATATAACAACCTCTGTTAGCTGTAGATTGTGAAGGTGAGTGCTTTACAAATTAGAAAATGCTAGAACTGAGATTGCAAAATTGATGTGGTCACTTGGTTCATCTGTGACTGCCAAAATATATTACTTATAATCCTTCTGTCAGCCATTGTTTCTCCTTTAGGACCTATGCCTCTTTTGGAGAATGCAGTTAGTCAATATTTTTTCTCTCTCTGTCATTCAATCCTTGATCCTAGATGTAGCATCCTCATCTTGCAGTGAACTTCTGTGGGGGTATCCAGGCTGCATATGAGCACTTGACAAACAGCAGTGAATTTATCTGAATAATACCTGTGGGAAGTGAAATAATATTAAGCCAATTTTATCTAAGGACAGCTGAGTCTGAGAGAGCTTAAGAACAGTTTAGGGATGACTGACAAGGAACATCCAGGATATTTCAAGAATACTTTGAATTTTTAAGTATTCAGAGCACAGCTCCAGAGATTTCAGCTACAGCTTACAGCTATGAGGATGCAGCATTTCTGTAAATCAGATGCCAGATTTCTGTCCGTGAATGTTTAAAAAAAAAAATTACTCACCATTTTGTAAGACCACTGTGGCAAAACCCAATGAAGAGCATGGTTCCATGAGGTAACGCTCAACAGTCACCATTGTCATGGTGACCTGGTCACCCTTCTTTTCACTGCCTTGTTCTTTGTGTGCATCTCAATATTGGCAACGTAATGCCAGAGCACTGCAAGCATTATGCTCCTCTATACCCAGTACCAATTTCTTTCTGGAGTGCGAGAGGAGTAATGCAATTAAAGACTCACTAAAGGAAGCCTAATTCTTAATGTTTCTTAACATGAAGTGTTTCAATATTCCAACATTAATATAATCCTTACATTTAGCAAGTTGGGCATATTATTCAAATTACTGTATTGTATAGCTCCTGTCAGAATTACTGCTGACCTACAAGAGAAAGTTGTGCTGATTTAGCCTTCTTGAGATTTTAAATTAGTTTTTTCACAGCAGTGCAAAAAATACAGAGATTTGTACTTCAGTTGATAGCAAGCTTCACTGTGTCTTACACTGGTTGAGATCAGATTTAAACCCAAATAAACCACTCTTTTGATATGTTTATAAAACATACCATATAAAAGCTACGTGATGGTGATATAGTAGCATTAATTAAAAAACCAATTCTGAAACAAGATTTGCAGAGTGGCTTGCAAGATGTTCATGAAACTGATGTAAAAAGTAACTTCAGCAGGGTATAATATATATAATTTTCCATTGTCAGTGGAAAAAGCTTTCCCTAAAGGTACAGCAAAGCTGGCAAAGCAGAAAAAGAATTTCTGAGATAACACTTGTGAGATAGATTGTCATTTTGGTAAACAAGCATCTTAGACCTGGCTGTTTTAGCACAACGAACAGAAGTAAATAAGCAAGATTTTCAAAGAAGTTACGCTGCAAAAAGAACCGTTGCGGTTCTGCAGGTATATACATTGTACCAAAAGCAAGCCTATACTGAAAGTAGCCAAAACTTGCTAATTGAACAGTATTTAAATTTTCAAGCAAATTGTTAATTTCTCACAGATAGAATGACATTTTTGTCAGAGTAGTGGGTGCTGCAAGGAAAGAGTTGCAGGAAGACAGAGAGGGAGGGTAGAATTGACCCCATCATTTCATGATGACTAAATAGAAAACTGGATTAAAAGTTTTAGGCTCGGTGTAAATAAATGCATTGGTACATTGCTGCTGCATGCCAGCTGAGACCATGGCCCACTGTTACAAAGGAAAATGTTTTAGCAAATGGAATAAAGTTCATTATTTCCTTTTTAAAAATCAGCAAGTGCTGACGTACAGCCTGTGGAAAAAACAAAAGGTGATTTCTGCGCCCCCAAGATGCTCGTGGCTGCCTAAACATTATAGAGCTAACAAGCTGCACCAGCAAGTACCATGTTTATAATCCATTCGGGCTGTTATTTTAAATGGGTCTGAGAAAGCAGATTACCAAATTCCTCTGAATTTCAAGCAATGTATAACCTTTCATTTTATTAGGCTCTCAATATCTGTCGCGCTGCTGAGGCATGGTGAGAATGGATAATATTTAGCACTCTGCTTCCTCAACCCTTGGTAATAGGGATTTGGCTTGTCATTCCCAGCTCTCCTCTCCTAATCATCTTCTATTCAGTATTACTGTGTTGAACCCCTCAACTCATTGGTTGGGATTCAGCCTCCTTTGTCCACTCATTACGTTGCCCAATGAGCACTTTTATGCCTTCCCCACGCTGCCCCACTCACTAGGGGCAGCTCCTTGAAAACATCCTTGAAACTGCGCCATTACTCCACTGAGAAGTTTCCTATGCCCTTCTACCTATGAGCAGTTGTTGGTATCTGCGTTAGAATTTACCTATCGCGGTAGGGAGCAACATCTTTTTATTTCTTGATATTCTTCTGTCTGCCTCTGTCTGCGGGCAGGCTCTTGTCTCATACTTGGAGGGCAAGCCCTTGGAGCAGGGCTGTCTATTTTCACTGCCCAAAGCATGAAGAGGTCCTGTCCTGACCTGGGTTTGTAGTCCCATCTAAATGCAAATAATAATTACGCCATTACAGCTAGTTGTGCCTTGGACAAGCTCACACATACATACTGGACTTGACCAGCAGCACAGCTGCATATGCCAGCCCACGTGCATTTATGGTTCACATTCTCTGTACCCTCCTGGGAAGGGACAGGAGTGACGGCATGGGGCTGATCCCACCACCACTGTGGGAGCATGAAGGCGTCTGCAGCACAGACATCTCCTCGGTCTGGCCACGGCTTCCTCTGACTTTGTGTCCCAGTAGTGTAAGAGGAGAAGAAGGCTGGGTTTGAGCGTAGGACCATGCTGCTAGGTGGAAGGCAATGCAGATGTAGTCATACTTTCTAAAACACTTACTAATTTTTGTTCTGTTTGCAATCCTGTGTATTATTTGTCCTGGTTTTGCTATCTGATGCAGAACTTGAAAATGAGATCTGATCTCCCTGGGAGTTTTCCTGTTAAATATTTTTAAATAAATGAATAATGTGTTGCATACTTTCCTCCCTGGACACTCCTAGAAAGAACAAGCTATCATCTACCTGGTATCTCAGCAGTGCAAGTTGGCTGAAATCTGCCCACGTCCCCCATTTTGTGGACTATGCGAAGTGTTATTTTGCCAGTCTGGTTAAATCAATTGAGACCTTCCCATCCAAAGATTGTCACTGCAAATCCTGTGAGAGCTTGGCTGGCTGTTTGCAATGTGTTGAGGTTCCCTGAGCCATCCCTTGGGCCTGTTGAGCAATCATGTTATTTTCTTCAATGAAATGTTCAGGAAGAAATGTGTTCATGAATAAAAGCCTGACATTTCAACATCTGCATCTGGAAGGAAACGCAGCCTGGGTAGTCATCATTTGGTTGTGAAAGGCACGCTCATTATTTAAATCATATGTGCTCTCCATGTTCAGAAGGGGCCCACTGGGCATGATTCAAGGCCTGCTGGAACAAAGAGGAGTTTCTTTATTGACTCAGTGGGCTTTGGATTAGACCCTAAATTGACAGGAGGAACTGAGACTCAATTGCCATTCTCTGGAGAGTTTGGGAATTCTGCACAGTGGTTATATTTTTGTGCTGCCAAAATAAAATTGCCACTGCTGAAGAAAGCTGAAAGGTTTGTGGAATAAAATCTTTAGGGAGAGTTGTCAGTCTTATAGGTGTGGATAGGTGACTGCAGTAGAAGTTAAACCTTCTTTTCCAGAGTCTTCTTAAGATGCACAGTGTATACTTCATGACAGCCAGATCCACAGGAGGAGTTACTAAAGAAAAAGATAAGCTTGATATTCCTTAATGGTTTAATTTCTGGTGCAACCAAATCAAAACACTTTGGAGGCAAGGGGAGGCATTCACTAATTAACAATAAAGAATCTGTGTCTTGCCTGTAGGAATTTGATGAGTACACCGCAGTTGGGAGCAAGGCATAAAAAGGGGGTTTTTTGGTCCCATTTACTCCATCAGTACATTTTCAGGGAAAGGATGAGCCTTATGCATCTTCTTCCCATTATTTGATTTGCACTGCCCTCAGCCGGTGCATTTGAGCTATGCTGCCGGAGTCCTAACAGTAAGGTACAACAAAGCGGTCTGAGAAGGGAATTGAAGTCAAGCTATTGCAGTTAGGCTCCTGTGCCAGATTCTCCCAGCTGTGCTACCTCAGTACGTGTACGGCGCTACGTTCAGAACAGATGGATTTTGCTCAGCAGCCCTTGCTACCACAGCGCATGAGAATCTCATCAATTTTCATGCATGATTTCTTCACCCTGTGTGTGCTGTTATGTGTGCGCTTCCCGGAGGAGGGGAGGCATTCGCTGAAGGTCCTGCAGGGCTCCTGCGACAGAGAGGGAGTTTGAACTCATCTCCTAAACCCCGGGGCTGTGCCCTGAGCATGGGAACAACTCTTAAGAGTAGTTTGCGATACTATACCCACACGCTGTGCACGCTACGCACACCACAACGCTCTTTTCTCAGTGCTGATACCTACCCCATGGTTTCCAAATGCTGAGCATCCAGCAGCTGCAAAGGAAGAGTTTTTGTTTGGTTAATAAGAACTTATCAATGCTGAAGATGGATGAATCCCTCGAGACAGCGTATTTGATTTGTGCTGTGACAAAAAGCACGTGTATAATGTAGTCTCCTTTCAGCGGTGCAACTTGCACTTCTTTCTCGAATTTATTGCTGGTAATTATAACTATTGCTTCAGCCAGTAATTATCTTCTGCTTAAAACTTTTCAGGAGAAGCAGAGATTGAGAGCGATGATGATGATGACTATGATGATGACTGTAAAAAGTCGTCGATGGATGAAGTAAGGGTGTAGATAATGTTTTATGGTGATGGGTCGGTTCCAGCAGCTGTGGGTTGGCTTGTGTTACCAGGAGTGGGACTACCATCTAGTGGAGAAAGGGAGGCAGAGCACCGGGAAGCTCACCACCAACTTTCTGAAGTTGGTTGTTAATCAGTTTGGAAGCACATCTTTGCTTTGTTTATTTATATTTTCCTTTACTGAAGAATAAGAATTAGTAGCACCACAGCTGATATGTTTTAGATAACTGCTTGTGGTGTATTTAGCATTGTTGGAAGAAAAACTTGACATCAAAAACTTAGAGCTATATTTATTATTTACCCAACAGTACTGATAAACATGCTCAGCACTATGCATGTGTAAAGGTAATGCAGTCCCTTCCCTAGGAGGCATGTAAAAAGAATGAATACAGCAGCAGTTTAATTAAACCTTTAAATTTTATAGCAAATTTTCTTCTTTACTATGTGAAGCTCCCTATGTGAGGCATTGACTTCACTGAGCCAGGATCAGTGAAAGATATCACTGTCAATAGAAAACTGGGCTTTGGTATTTGTGACCTCTGATGGCCACCACGGACAGATCAAAACTGCAGCATTTTCCCTTCTCTGTCCTAGGGTACTGCTGGAAGTGAGGCAATGGCCACCGAAGAGATGTCTAACCTGGTGAACTACATTCAGCCTGTGAAGTTTGAGTCATTTGAAGTATCAAAAAGTAAGTAAGCTAAGCATGAGCAACATCTTATACTGGAAATTACCAAGCAAGTGTTTTGAAGAAAGTTCTGGAGAAATGCTACTTGGTGCTCTCTCAGTTAGATACAGGCACATGGACAGAAAATGGGCCCTTGGTATCCAGCCAAATAAATCCATGTTTATTTTGAAACCTGTATCAGTCTAAATATAAAGCTTTATCAACAGTAAACATGCTGCCATTTCAAAAACATTTTAGAAAATGTTGTACTTACATTGTCTTTGTTGCCCATGACTGAAGAGTAACTTAAGCAGTTTGAGAAAGGTGGTCATAAATATTCTTGTGGATTGAGCAAGTGCTTTATATTTTGCCTCTGCTACTTTTATAGAGGATTCAGGGTAAGCAGAGTCTGCCCTTCCCCAACTTCAAATTCCCTCTTTCCTGCCTCTGTGTATTGTATAGAAAAGGCCATAATTTCACCCCCCGCTGGCTTTTACAGAAGATGCCTTGCTAGGAATGCAGTCAGTGGCATTCTCAGTAAACACTGCAGCATCTTTTCCTTTCTTGGTGCAGAACCCCCTGCTATTTGCCTACCCTTTTTCACTTTTTTTTGACAGGTTTCAATATGCTCTTGGAGCTTTTTAGTTAAAGAAGTGTATAGCATTTTAATTTATTATGGATCTATGGAGGCCTTGGCAGAGGACAGGTAATTGGTGCCTAAGTCCATATCTGTTTACAAGATTTTGCATTTACTCATGATGAATTATAAACATATAAGAAGTTATCTTCCTGTTCATTTGTAGCTGGGTATTTATACAGATGTACACACAAGCATTCACAAAATCATGCAGAGAGCTATGCTTGTTCCCTATAGTAGTGTCCCTTTGGATGTTTATAATCTCCTCTAGCTCGAATGAGAGTTAAAAGAACACAGTGGGAAGGAGATATTCCTTCTGGAAATGAAACCATGTGAATCCTAGCAGGACCAGTTGATGCAGCTGTTATAAAATTGTCTTGTGTAGATTTCTGTTCACATGCCTATGCCTTTCCGAGTTTTGTCTTTTGTAAAGAACTGCTGATGTCCAGATTTTTTACGTCTTGATGTGGCCTTTGATCAATCATACTGCTTCTGTGAACTCATAATGTTAAGGCATTAATATTTCTGGTGTTAGTGTAAAAAAAAAATAATTATGTGGTAAATGTGGCCAGTTCGTTAAAGCAGTGGCCTTACATAGTAAATGTTGCTGGCTGGTTAAAGCAGTGGGCACTGTAGCATGACTTGTGGGTTCTGGTCTTAGTCCTGGCCTGGACTGACTGCTGGACCTTCATTAAATTTAGCGAAGATGAGCTGAATAAAGGAGGAGTTAGATGAGGATCATTTTTTAATTTGTTGCCTATCTAGTTGTTGCACAGATTTTATTTTTGTTCACCTGACTTCATTCCCCTAAGTGTAGAGCTCCATGCTTGTCTTTTATACAGTTTCATCATTTCAGTGTTACAGCATTTTTCTAATTTAATATTTTCTAATTCAGAATTTGTTTTGATTTGTGATCCTGGCCTCCACGGTGCTAACAGTACCTCACTGCTTCTGTCATTCACACATTTATTTAAAAGTGCATTTTCTGGTCTTGTATCTAACTTGTTAACAAAAATATTGAATAGCACTGGATCTGTAACAGTCCCCTGATTACCCTCACTAGATATGTTCCCTCTCTCTGACAGCAAGTAGCTGTAACTGTATTTTCTCAAGTTTTTCAGACAGTTTTTCAATGAGTTGTTTGTCCCCTCCCTAGTGACTTCCTCCTGATAAGATAGCACGGTGTAACGTATCACAAGAGAGAAATGTCTTTCCTGCACAGTCTTTCTTCAAAGGGCAGGTTTCTTAATCCTCTCCAGATACTACAAGGAAATTATCGTTCTTATTTTAATTAGGAGTTTGATTAAGCCCTGGACATTTAGTAACTGAATCATTTAACAGCTACCAGTTCTGGTTTCCTACAGATGCTCTACATTAAGATAAGGCTGAGAGATATGGTATACTACTACAACTAATTCTAGTACCTATGTTCTAAATAGAATAATACCACTATATATGTGTGTTGCTAATGCTATCCCACTAGTAAGGAGGAAGTGTGGAATAAGAATAATCTCAGTGCCTTTATAAGGAGCTGAGGTGGAGGTGAGCTGGCTGGAACAGAGTCTGGAGAAAGAGAGGATATTGCTTGCTGGAAAGGAAGAGGAGTGGTAGGAGAGCAGCCTCTCTGGAATGGCAGGCATCTTTCGCCATTGGGAGATAACAGCTATGAATAACGGCAGTAGCGTGATGGTTGCTAATTAGAAATAGAGACCACAATAAAGTCTGAGTCCCAGCTCTCCTAGAGGGAGAGAATGGCTTTTGGAACACCACGATCACCCTCTGACTCTTCAACATACACTGAGAAGACTTTGTAGTTCACAGGCTGGCAGCACATTTCTCTCTCATGTTGGCCTAGCTCTTCGTTTCTTTGGATCCACTGCTTCCTTTTTGGCTTCCTATAAGGAAAGTGCCCACCTGTTTCTGTCCTGCTTCTCTCTGCAAGACGAGTGCTTTTGTTCAGTTTTATCCCTCTCCTGCAGCTTCGCAGTTTGACTTCAAGGAGCTGGCCAGGCTGGCATCCTGGCCATCCCTTGATTACTGCAGCACAATTACTTCTAAAACGGGATGAGGGCAAGCCTCTTCTCTGCCTTATTGTTTGCTTTCAATAACATGGTGAGGCTAGAGAGTTGACATTTCAACACAGGCACTGTTTCTCTCATTTTTAAAGAGAGCAGTGCTGAGATATCTAATGGATATGACCTCCCAGCGCTGTGGGCCCTTCTAGGCAATCTACACAGCTGATTGTGATGAAATGGGAAGCTGTTATTTTATAGGAATCCTTACCTTCTGTACAAAAGTGTAAAGGAAAAAATGCTGAAGCTAGAAGGGTCTTGACTTAGGCTCTCTGCTACAGCATGGCGCGTGGGTACATTGAAAGGCTGTGCACACATCAGGCAAAGGTGAGTAACAATTGATACACAAATTAATATTTAGTCCTGCTGAGTTATAAGCTTAGGAGGAGCTTTTCACCGCTGTCAGGTCAGAAAGTTTGGCCAAATTAGAGAGGTCATAGAAGCTCTGTATTAGTTCAGGGTTAGGCCTGAAGACCTGCTGGGACACAGGAGTGTACCTTCAGGCTTGGTTAGATAGCAATGTTTCCATGACTGTTTGAGACAGATGTGACCTTACCCTGACATACTGAAGATAACGAGAACCGCAGTAGGCACAGCTAGCGCACTGCTTAGTTTAATCTGATACGGACGTTAGTTATTATAGCTTCAAATTGGCTCAAAGCTCTTGCATCTGTCTGCAAAGACAATCTAGAGATCCAGCAGGGCCCTCTGTGTTCCCCATAAAAGCTGCTGCAATACCTCTGCGTCACACCTGTGAGCTTTGGGCTCTACGTCTCAAATATATCAAGGTGGTATTTTGCAAGCAAGCGTGCAAGATCTCTGCCTGTGCCCTGGCTTTCTGTTGCCTGCAGCTGGCACAGTGGCAATCTTGGGCAGTACCGATGCCCTTAATTTGGGCAGTGCTAATGCGAGTTCGGATGGAGCTCTTGAGTATGTGCAGAGTGAGCTTGCTGCTGTCAGCAAACGACTGTGTATGTCAGTTCTTTGAGATCAAGGTGAAATGAGCTGGTGAACAGTAGATGGGATAAGGGGACTGAGACTAAACCAGTTGTTTGCAGCTCACGTATCGCATGTGATTTCATGCTCTAATGTGTCACTGTTTTTATTTCTCCTTTAAACTTCCAGAACGCAACAAAAGTTTTGAAATGTCTTCCTTTGTGGAAACCAAAGGGCTTGAGCAACTTACAAAGTCTCCTGTGGAATTTGTGGAGTATCCTTGACTTTCAGAATGCTGCTTTCTTAGCCTTTCTATATCTGAGATCTGTTACAGGGCTTTATTGAAATTTGGAGACAGGAGCTGGGGAAATAGGGAACCCAAATGAAATTTGTAGATTTGACTGTCTTCCTAGATGAATTAATTGGCCTGAGTTCTGATGAGCTAATTTAAAAGCTGGCATGAGTCCTTGTGCTGCAGGCTAGGACGAGAGGGAATAGGCATAAACTACATATTGAAGACCTGATGTTTTATATTCTCGTTGTTAAATTTATCATCCTATATGAGGTGGTGAGCAAATTGTCAAAATGCGGCTGACGGTTTTTTGCACAGTCATACGAGAGAGCTTGCTTTCCCATCATACCGCTAGTTCTAAGAGCAGTGAGCTGTTTTATTGCCATACAATTCTTTTTTTTTTTTTTTTTTTTTTTTTTTTTTGGGGTTTTTTTTAATTTCTAAAAAAAAAGTTGCGCGGATTTTGCGTCTCTGTCCTTGTCCTTCCCCATGTGTCTGGATATCACGAGTGATATGAAAGGCTTTGAGTGTCAACCAGTGATAATTACAATAAAAGTAAGGAATTCTAAATCCCAGAATGGTTCCATTCCTATATTCAGTGCTGCATGTGTGCAAAATTCTTTAAAAACGTATTTCGTATGGCTTTTCCTTTTTTTTTTTTTTTTTTTTTTTTTTTTTTGTTGGTTTTTTTTTTCCCATAAATTTTTTTTTTTTTTTTTTTTTTTTTTTTCTTTAGGGCTTTTTTATAACTTCTAAAGAAAAGCTGAGGAGCATTCTTTTTAGACCTTTTGATGTTCCTCAGTGTCTCTCATCATGGCTGCGGTTAAGAATGAATGGTCAAGATAAAATAGTGCCTTAAGGAAGATTAATGGAAAGCTATTTCCACAGATAACCTGCAGCATGTTCTCATCTCTGAGATTTGTAGACTCAACTGTAAGAAGTGCACACTCATCATTTCTGTCTGTATGTAGAGGCCAATTCTAATGCTTATTCCAGAAGAGCACTTACTTTTTAACTGAGCACCTCTCCCCCCCACCAGAGGAAGATTCGCTGTTTACAGCTATTTGGCCTCTATAAATGCAATCTTAGGAAAATCCCACATTAGTAACCATAATGATAAATGGAATTTTATTAATGCTATCTTTTTGATGCATATGCCTGTGCTATTTCCTTGCTTATTCTGGGTACTATGTACAGGAACAAACAACACCTTTAGTTACCCCGTATTTATCATCTCTCCTACAAAATTGTGGACCTCTGGAAGTGTTATTGTTGCAGAAATCCAATAAGGAACCCACTGCCATTCTGTAAAGAGCACCTGCATTTAAATATTGTAGTTGCAATTCTCTGCGAAGTGATTTTTGTCACACGTACTATATCTTAACTACTCACCGTTTAGATACAACAAAATGCAGCTAAGCCGAATTTACCCAAAGGGAACACGTGTAGATTCTTCAAACTACATGCCACAAGTCTTCTGGAATGCCGGCTGCCAAATGGTTGCTCTTAACTTCCAAACTGTAGGTAAGTTATGCTGGTCTCTAGATTTTGTAAGCTGTACCTTGCCACTTCTCTGATACAGTTTCTGATTCATAAGTAGGAGGGGCTTTATGCATCAAAAGATGTCTAGTGATCGAATGATAGTACAGAGCTGTTAATTAACATTTTTAACACAGTTGTTTTTTTTTAACTAGGAATATTCATAATTACGATGCTGTAGCTAGTATAATAGGCACACATAAAGCCCTCCATATTGTCATCATTTTAAGTGATTACCATTGAGCAGCATTTCAGATCTGGCAGGGATTTTTTTCCTGTGTCTTCCAAAATCTCAGTATATCAAGACATAAGGGACTTAGACAGCTAATTCCACTTTAAAAGTGAGTGTTTAAGAAACAAAGACATTTGGGCTCCCACATGCACAAGTCACTTTTGAAATAGAATGTATTGTCTTCCAAGGCTATGTCTGTTCTGAGACATACAAATATTTCTATCTACTGCATCCCAGGACATATCCTAGCCATGTTCTGCCTCTGGGCACATGGTACCATGGTATCATCCCCTTTTTCCTTTCCAGTCGTGCCCATGTATACACTGCCATTCCATGGAAAGCAAAACCCTACACAGGCTGGGAGTCTGCAGAGTAATAAAAACCTCTTTGGGCCAGTTTTGACCAAGTATCAAACACCCAGTGTCTTATGTTAGAAACATAAGTATTCTGCTGGGTCAGGTACAACAGCACAACACTAAGGGACTCAAAACCTAAGTATCAAGGCTTCTTTTAAAATTTGAAAATGTTATCTATTGAGTAGTCTCTGAAAGATGTCTTAGGGAGATCTTGTCAAAAGAATCCAAGAGAGTGGCTGCGATCACATCTGAAACCTCTTAACAAGCAACATTGTGCCATAAATAGCTGTTTACATTACAGTTGGTTTGAAATGACAATAAATAGTATTATTTTACTGCTTTTTTAAATTGTTACTAACCAGAACGTTGCTCTTACTGATATTTTTAACACCTAGATTTGTCTATGCAAATAAACATGGGAATGTACGAGTACAATGGCAAAAGCGGATACAGGTTAAAGCCAGAATTCATGAGAAGACCAGACAAACACTTTGATCCATTTACTGAAGGTATAGTGGATGGGATAGTAGCTAACACCTTGTCTGTCAAGGTATGTATGCAGCTGGTGAAACTGCTCTCATGACAGTGTTAGAGCATGGATATATTTCTGTTATGCAGTGGCCTAGCAAATGACCATACTAAGTCAAGAAAATAAAATGCATTTCGTTTCATGGAGTGACATTTCATTTTTAAATTGCAGAGGATCTTCTGCCTCACATTTCGTATTGTAGCATAAATAAATGTATTTTGATTGTATATATTCTTTTCCATAGAAGTAACTGGGAAGTGAATGGATTTAAGAGTAGTTTGGCTGTGTCTTTAGTAACAAAGAGCTGAATTTAAAGCATGCTGTTATGAAGCGGTAGGTTGCACTGGAATAGCTAGAACAGTACACTGTTTAATATAAATAAATTTTCTGGTTCCCTATAAGTTCTCCAGCAGAACTGTGGAACCATAAATGTCAGCTACAATTCATTGCCAACTTGCTTTTCTTCATTCCTTTTTAAGGACCTCTAATGAAGTTCAAGGACCACCAGGAATCTGCAAATTGAAAACTACTTGTATGAATATTTAGAGGGATAGATTTCATTGGCTATGACAGGATCACAAATTTATACTTTGTATATCTCTAGTTATCAAAACATGAACTTCCTGAAATCCTGTTATTCCTTTAATGGACTTGTCCATTAGAACAGTGTCCGTATTATAGAATCCACCTGCAAAATATCCTCCTGTTTTCTTTCAGAGAAAGCAAGTATTTCCTCTCAGGCTGCAGACACAAGCGTAGCAGAGCAGTGCTGGGAGGGATATGAATGAAGTAATAATCTGATGACATGCATGGTAAAAAAAGATGACTGTGTGGGAATGACCTTTTGTGGTGGCCTGTAATCATGGAAGCTTTCAGGTCCTCCTGTGGGTTTAGAGGCACTTTCTTCTGTAATTTTAATAAATGGAGGTGGAAGTCATTCAGTAGCTATTAGGAGATGCACAGCGTTTTTAACAGGAATGAACATCCCAGGAGTCATGAGACAGCTGTCAGAAGTCAACTGCTTCTGCCTGCTTGGTGAAGACTCTGCTGGTTATAATGTCAATGCCCATACAAGATACAGCTGAGAACGGATTGAGATTTGCTTTAGGCAAGCCTAAATTTGTTAAGGTACAGTGACACTGCTACATATTCCTGTGCCTCTTCCATTTTCTGAAGTAATTGCAGACCTTTCTTTAACTTTTTAAAGCTGAGAGTTGTCTTTCCTGTTAAAAATAAGAACTAGAAAAGACCAGGTATTTTATAGCTATCTTGTTTTCATAGTGAAGCTCCTCATACCAACTTTTCAGCTTGTTTTCGCCCTTGCAGTTAAAAACGTATGTAGATTCTCTGCTGCTTATACCTCTTTTCTTCCAGCATTTTTTGAACCTGCTGTTGAAACTGGATAGAAATGAGAGTTCTTAAAGATATGGTGTTGTGGAAATAGGCAGCCAGATTGAGGAATGAGATCCAAACTAGTATTCCTGCTAAGGGAAGGGCAGCAGCATGATCTCAACCACATTATTGCTCATAGAGGAATTCAGGACCACAGGGTCACAGGAAATCAGGCCTCATAAGTTGTTTTTCTGTGTCTGCAATACTAAACAGTGTGGTTGGTTTTTTTTATTGTGGTTTTGGTTTTGTTTTGGTTTTATTTTAAATGCATACTGTCTGATCATTAATGAGCATTATCCATCTGCATTTCAGCCACTCATTTCCTAATCCACCACAGCAGTCTCTAGTGATTCTTCTTTGTTTTGGTTTTAGATAATTTCGGGTCAGTTTCTTTCTGATAAAAAAGTCGGTACCTATGTAGAAGTCGACATGTTTGGCCTGCCCGTGGATACAAGAAGAAAAGCTTTGAAGACCAAGACCTCTCAAGGCAATGCAGTTAATCCTGTCTGGGAAGAGGAAACCATAGTGTTTAAGAAGGTCGGTGTAACACTTGCTTCCCAAACGTGCATTGTGCTCGTTTTATCGCTGTCCAGTAGAGTACTTTTGTGGATTAGTGAAACTTTGCATTTGTTAGAAAGAAGTTAAAGAGATTCCAAATAGTTATTTCTTGAACGGTTTATTGTTAACCTTACTTTTGGTGTAATTTTGCTACTCTAGTCATGCCAGCTCCTACTAAAATAAATGAGTTTAAAGTCACCTTGATTCTTTCACTGACACAGCTGGAAACAGCAGGCATGTCGATACTCATCTGCGTGGCACAGTGCAGTGCCATGCTATGAACAAGCAAGCACAGATCCCAGCAGCAGTTCAGCTGGATTACCATTTTGCCATGGCTGAACAGCCCTGCTGAAAAGCAGATCCTGTTAACCTGCGAGCAAGACGATGTGAATACAGCTATAACAATCTGGCTGTCCAAGCCAACATATTCAAAGCAATCTGTTATCTCTGCTTAGCGCTAGATTATGCTATATAAATACAACCTAGGTGATGAAACCACATAAATCCCATCCACTTGAAATGAGACGTAGGCTCCTGAGTTACTCAGGCAATTTGAACAATAGCACTCAGACTCAATTCTCTAAACTTTGAGGGAGCAGAAAGTACTGAGCATGTTTTAGGATTGTGCAATGTGAATGTCTTGTGCTTCACAACATACTTGGCAGCTGGTTTTCTAACAGGATTTCTGGGTTTTGCTTATTGGGCACTGTGGTTAAATGGATCCTGAGTCCAGGTGTTTGTAAAACAATTTCTTTTGTATTTCTCTAGGCAAATGTAGTTCACAGAGGTGTTTATACAATTGCTACTTGCAGCCCTGCTTTCTAGGGAGTACAGCCCTTTTCCCTGAATATTTGGCCTTCTGAATGACTTTCCTTTGGCAGCCTGCCAGAGCTTAAGTTTGGAAACATCACTAGCATTTTTCTTCTGTAATGAACTTCTAATTAGTGTACTTCATTTCTCTATTTAGTTAACGATCGTGCCTGACTGCCTCTGTGCTCAGAGAAGCATAGATGACTATTTTTAGTAATCTTGAAAATAAATTAGAGAAACTCTTTCATTTTGGATTGTTGCTTTTTTTTTCCCCCCTCTCATTGTCTAGATAAATTTTAGTGCATGTTCTGAAAAAATGCATATCTGTGCCCAGGTTAAAAATATGTGTATTTGTAGGTATATTTGCATTAAGTAAGAAAATGAGATGAATTATGCTACACTTTTTTTTTTTTTAAAGTAATATTAAAGATTCCTATCTTAGTTGGGTAGTTTAAGTAACCTTTTTTGATTTGTTGTTTTCTGTTTTTCACTGTTTGGCCTTCTTTCTTATGTAGTGCCAAGAAAGCATCCAAGGCTAGTAAACATCCTGCCTGTCTTTAGCCCAGCCAGTGAGTGTGCTGCAGCACTGGAAAATTCTGCTGGTGTTGACATGGTTCACGTAATTCATACATTCACACTCTGCAAAACAGGTTGAGTTGCTTGTTGAGTTTTCAACACTAATATGCCTTTTTCAGTGACTTTTCTCAGAAGTAAGTAATCCCATTGGCACGAACACAAAGGAAAGAAAACATGTAGGGCTGTGAGTAATAAGCAGAAAACAGAGTGGCATTCAAGTGTGATAGGAGTTGAGCTGCCAAAGTCCCTTGTATCATATTGGAAATGTAGGGTCAAATTGCTGGATTCAACATACTATGCACACATCCCATGTCAAGTTTCTTGATTGAAAAATGTTTCTGAGAGTTATTTTGACACACAGGTGCATACACCTTGACCTTTTATATGATAAGACCTTCCTATGGATGTGTAGATGTTACTTTCTGCTAGACTGAACTTTCTCCTTCTATCTGCTCTATAGCCTATGTCTGGAAGGAGCTGTTTCATTCAGAGCAGAAAGTTAATAATGCAACAATATTGCCTTCTAGGTCGTTTTACCTTCCTTGGCATGTTTGAGGCTAGCAGTGTATGAAGAAGGAGGGAAATTTATTGGTCATCGGATATTACCAGTCTCAGCAATTCGACCAGGTAAACTTTTTTCTCCATTGAGATGAACATTATGTAGTGAAAAGAAGCCGCAAGCCAGAATCCCAGTGCTGTAAATCAGCAGCCACTCTGCAGATTTATAGCAACTGGGGATTTGAGTAATCTATCTCAACTTTGGAAGGGAAAATACCGTATTTCACCAGAAATTTAGATTTGTAATGAACCAGGAAAACCAATAGAATTAAGCATCAGAGGCATGGTTGGCACTTACTGGTCTCCAGTGGATCAACTGCATGTTCACCATTTTATGCTAAGAAGTGCAATTGTATGTTTTTAAGAGGAAAGAGGGCAGCAACAGCCAATTTTGATGTCATCTTTGTAAGAATGGGAGATTGCTGGGAATGAAAGCAAAATATGCTCCTCCATTGTAATTTTTACATGCATGCAAGGACTGACCTATATGCAAGCTGTTGTATCTCTGCAAAACCTTTAAATCAACCCAAAATTACTTTCATCTTTATTGCTGAAAATTTAAAAAAAAAAAAAAAAATCACCAGTGGTCTCTTCCAAATCATATAATTATTTCTGTTATAATTAGTGGCCACTTAACTGAAAATTGTCTTGTGCAACAACTCAGCCCTTATTTTCCAGGCCAGAGACTTGTTAGAGATCATGTTTCAGAAAGATGCAGTGACATTGGCATTTTGAGCAAGAGAAGCGTTCGACTTCAGCGCCAGCTTTTCCAGTGAGGGGAGGGGAGGAAACTAAATTAGGGCAAGCATATGGGCCATAAACATGCTTCCAGCTTCACTCACACTGGAAAAGGAAGAATATGTGTACCTACCCTGTACCTTACTTAGTCAGGCCCAGCAGTAGCACAAAACTCACATATCCTTGTATCTAAACAGTTGTTGTCCATATTATTCCTGGAGATCTGATCTCAAGTAATGTATAAATCAGTCCCTTCTCTTATGGAAGGTGATGTCAGGGCTCTTCTAAGATGAGCTCCAAGTGGTTTTCCCTTAGCTGGTGAGGGTGGCATGGCCTCACTGCAAGCGCAAACAGGCTAGCCATGGGAGGTGGCTGCAGGGCACATCACTGCTCCAGGATTTCCTCACCAGTTGTCACTTCTCTTTCCCTTCCCCTTCCCTTGGCTGTGCATCCTTGGCCATTCTATTGTGCCAGCTCTGCCAATTTCCACACCTTTTTTATGAGCCAAATCATCTTATCAATCCAGCAGAAAACTCTCCACTGTTTTCTCTTAGCTTAATGGATATAATTGCCTCATGGAGGATCTGCTGAGCTCCAGAGGAAGATAGGTGACTGGAGAGGAGAAAGGGGGATGTGAAGGATTTCCCTCTTCTGGTGAAAGTGAACTCTTAGCACAGCTGATCCCCTTTCATGGCACTCATCCTTCACGCAGCACAGAGTCCATTCAGCAGAGCACTGAATCATGTACTTGCTTTTAAGCTTGTGCTTTTTAGAACAAAGGCCACTGTGATAAATCATACAAGGACTTTTGAGAGGTTTTACTCGCAGGCCTATCTTCTGTCCTTTTGACTCCAGTAATCATTAGTTTACAGCATGTGATGGAGAACAGCATGTTGGTTTTAGTTTGTGTACATGCTGAAAATTTGCTGGAGGAGCTTAAGGGAACTGAGAAAGCTTTGTAATACGTCATTTCTCTCTTTTCTGAGACATTATTGAAAACCATATCATACTGTCACACAAATGCACAGAATTACCATTATTCCCAAAGCAAGGATTTAACCATTACCTGGGGAGGGAGTTGTTCACATCATCCAAGTGAGGATCCCCCCAGATAAGTCCATCCTGCTTGTGACTTGTATCTTGACCCTACCCGTATGTGCGGCTCCTTAATCATGCCTTAGAAGAACAGCTTCAGCCACGGTGCAGGAGGCACCAACTTGTGAGGCAGAGGATGCAGCTTTGCAGCACTGTGATGCTTCCATCACTGTCTTTAAGCTGTCATTAGTATGTCTAACCTTACAGTGGGACATTTTGGGGAGCTAAACTGATGGAAGACTCTTTGCAGTTTCTGAAGGTTGCTTTTTCCAGAGTTTAGCTTGCTGAGCTGCCAATCTACAAAGTCAGAAAAGTGTCAGTGCACAAGAGAGGTGATGGTGGTAGGTGGCTGGGAGAAATGGTTTGGGGCTGCCCCATCTGTGGTGCCTTGCCATTAACTTGGCTAAGCTGCACTGTAATGTGTGCCCTTACTCTTACAAGTCAGCCAGCTTTCAAAACAGTCTGAAAATAGTCTTTTTTCAGATGTATTTCTAAGGTTGGTCACATGATAGGATCCATACACACACGCTTTGTAGATATAGTGCCACATTGTCTGGTTTTTTAATTAGATACTGTGTTGTCGATGGACTATTACATCTCAGTTTTACTTGGCTGTTCAGATTCCTGAGTATTACAAGGGTCACTTTTGAAAATTAAATAAGAGCTCTGAAACTAGAAAAAAAATCCAGCCAAAGGTAATGAAATAGAATGCATCAAAAGTTATATAAATGACAATTTTTAGCATTATTCACAGATGTAAAAATAAAGGGAAAATACTATTTTAAACTGCAGTGTCATGTGCCTTTCTAACAGTCCCTTGTCTGCATACTTAACTCTGAAACCCTCC